ATAAATAAATAAATGTTTATTTTATTCATTTATAAGGATTTAATCCATTAGAATCGTGCTTTATTCTCCTGCTGCTGCTGCTGCTGCTGCTGCTACTGCTGCTCGTGCATGTATGTATGCATGCGCTGCTGCATGCATGCATGCGTGCATGCATGCATGCGTAGGGAGTAATATAAATAAAACATGAATATTGTGGGTATTTTATCTGATTTTTGTTGTTATAAATATATTTAATTGTTTTTATTTATATTTATCCTTTTATTGCATCAATTGGTGGATTAATTAGGGTTTATTTTCCTTCTTTTTTGTTGTGGAGGGAAGAGTCATTGATTCTCTGTTCTTGTTTTTCCTTGGATAAACTCTTTATTGCTTGTTTTCTTTTGTTTTTTTTTCCTTTTTTCTTTTTTATATTTAATATTTACATTTCTTTTTACTGCTACAGCATCTGCTGGTGCAGCATCTATTGCTGCTGCTGCTGCTGCTGCAGCTGCAGCGGTATAAGCACCGCTCCCTGCCTATACACCATAATATAGAGGTGCCTATACACCCCAAACCGGTCATTTTTTCGCGTTTCTCCACATAAATAAGTAAATAATATAATAAATAATAGATTTTTTTTAGTAAATATATATTATTTATTTATTTATAAATAAAAGAAGATGGATGACGACGGTAGTTTCCCTTTTTCCTCCGCAACAAGGAGTAATACAGTAAGAGATAGGAGTGCAGTAAAGAATTATCCATTAGGTGCAACAGCTAAACAAATGCAGGTAAAAAATAAATTACCTGCATCTGTACAGATAACAGCAGAGCAATTATTAAGGGAGGCAGTAGATAGACAATTAGTAGATAATAATAATAATATAAATCTACAAAGAAGAATTGCTGATGAGGAAGAACTACATGAATATAGATTAAATAAAAGAAAATATTATGAGGATATATTAAGAAGACAAAGACATCATATAGGTACATGGATTAAGTATGCTAATTGGGAGGCAGAACAGAGAGAGTTCCGCAGGTAAATTACTTTATTTATTTATTTATTTATTTATTTATTTATTTATTTATTTGTTTTTTTTTTTTGCTTTTTTTGTTTGTTTATGCTGCTTATTTGTGTATTTTTACGTGAATTAAATATGCTAATATGCGCATGCAGAACAGAGAGAGTTGTGCAGGTAAATAAGTTAATAATTAAATTTATTTAATTAATTTATTAATTAAATTGTTTATTTGCTTATTTATTTTGCTTTTTTCCTTTTTTATATTGTTTATTTGCGTATTTTTTCGTGAATTAAATATGCTATAATTAGGTGGCAATATATACATACATAATATATATGTATATGTATATGTATATGTATATGTATATGTATATGTATATGTATATGTATATGTACAAATATATATTTATATAAATAAATACCCTAATAATAAATAAATTAAAAGAAAAAATGAATAAAATAAACGTAGGAACTCTTAAATAAAAAAATAAAAAAAAAAAAAAATATATGTATATGTACGTTTTTCGTATACGAATTTCGTAAAATATATGAATATGTATATATATATATATACGAAGAAAGTACATTTTTTTTTAATTTTTTTTTTTTTTTCTCCTTTTTTCTTTTTATTGATACAGGGCTCGTAGTGTATTTGAACGTGCATTATTAATAGATTATAGAAATGTTAGTTTATGGCTAAAATATATAGACATGGAGATAAAAAATAAATTTTTTTTTAGTGCACGTAATTTATTTAATCGTGTTTGTCAATTATTACCAAGAGAAGAACAATTATGGCTTAAATATGCACATCTTGAAGAATTATTAGCTAATTATGCAGGTACGAATTATTTTTTTTTTTTTTTTTTTTTTTTTTTTTTTTTTTTTTTTTTTTTTTTTTTTTTTTTTTTTTTTTTTTTTTTTTTTTTTTTTTT